AAAACCCTACACATTTAGAATTGATGTAGACAACTAGGCAAAAATAATTGAATGAACACTGGAGTTAGAATACATGTGGGTGGAGTCAAGTACAAATGATCTTACTATGGGCAAACTAATTCTCCTCTCTAAGCCTCAGTTTTATATCTGTGCATGAAAATAAAGGTAGCTACTTCATGGGGTTATTGTGAGGATTAAACTGGAAAAAACACGTAAAACATCAGTGCAGGCACATGGCTAGCCTTTTAAAAGTGTAAGGATGTTCTGATTGTTTTCACTGAGGTGGGAGCAGAAGCATGGCGATGTTGTTCAGAACAGTGGGAGATCTTGGAATAACAAGTTGGCAGAAGATGCTGCCCAAATCTGTGACCCTCAGGACTTGCTGAGCAACTAAAGCAGCTAATCATTGATACTCAGGTCATGTCTGCCATGGCAGCTAAGTTAAATGGACACCATGTGTACACCCTCTTTTCCTTTAAAGAAAATATTGACTTTGAGTTTTCACAGGTGCTTTAGATTTACTCACTGGGGTCTTTATGCAACCACCTGTCCTTGTTTTTCTTTTTCATGGGGAATAAGAGGTAATGCTAACCCTAGCAAACATGATTTACCACTAGGAATCTGACCCAGGAGAGAAGGAACATGCATCAATTTTCCACCAGTAATGTGACAAATGCATCAGAGCAAACAGACCAGACAAGGGGAGCTCTAACGTGCCAGGGGGTGGTCAGCCCTGTTTCAGCCTTAACCCAAGTATCCCTGCAACCACCTAGCCCACAAGAAAGGGAGACCAGGGTCTATATCTGAGAACTCTAGCAAATGCAACTGACCATACTAGAAGGAGCCTCAAAGGTATTATTTTAAAAGAAATCAGGCTTGAGCAGCTCGATTCCTCAAGCATCTGCTCTATGGCCCCCTCATCCTGCACACTTTTTGAGGAAAGCATAATGTTAATTTTACTAGCAGCATGACCCTGCTGCTAAGGAAGGACTAAATGTTTCTCAGGCAAATACCCGATTTTCTGAGTGGTCTGGAAACTTTCTGTAGGGGTTGGTTAACTGGTTTTCCCAGAGACCTAGGACTGGGAGGACTGTTGAGTTGATATCCACAGCCCTACTATAGCGCTTAGAATCCTTCTGTGCCATGGAACCTAGGAGTGGCCAATTCCTCCCTCTGGGTAGTTCTCTCATCTTATGATTGGGCAGTTGCTGGGCCTGTGAACTCCTGGAGACAGACCCGCCCTCCTCCTTCCCCGCTCCCCACCCCGTGGCTGCTGCCCTGCCCTGGCTCCTGCTTCCCAGCAGACCCCTTCTGATGTCTACATACCAGCTCCTGTGAACTTCCTGAAGACCCAATTTCCTTGAATGCCTAGACTGCCAAGGGAACTTCTGTGTAATTCACGGAGCTTCCCAAACAATCTAGCAAGCAAAAGGGAGAGATGGGGCTGGGTCAGGACAAGAGTGACAGAAAGGCCAGTGTCATCAAGAAGTTGAGACTCTATGAAAAAGGAAAAGATGATGTAACCATGCAAAGAAGAGAGCAAAGGCCTAAGAGAAGCAAGGGAAGAGAGTGGCCAGCCAATGGCAAGGGACAGGAGCAGGAGAGAGAGGGGCCTACCTTTCAGCTCAGCTTTTCTTCCAAGCCCCTGGCAGCATCTCACCCAGTGAAGTCTCTGCCAGCTCCACCCTCTGGCACTCATAGGGTGGCCAACAACCCTCTGCTACTCATCAGAGGATGTTATCTGATGCCGTCCCTCTCATTTAAATACCAGCCATCAATATATGACTCCCAGATGGAGAACTCATAGTAGGAATGGCAGCTTAAGTCCTTTAAAAAGTGGCCCCATTCAGGACAGCTTTCTGGAAAGGGTAAAAAGACCACACCAGAAAAGGACAGAAGTGTACTCAGAGGTACCCAGCCAAAGCGTCTCTTGAGGAATCAAGGTCAGAGGACACCAGTGCCATATCACTTGGGGACCACCAACTAAGAACTTTACTGGTTCCTTCTCTTCCTCTCCCTCTGCCCCAGTCCTGGGGCACCTAAGGCAGCCCAATGAGCTAAAGGAGAATCATAAAAATGCTCTATAAGAAACACAGACGGTGACAGACATGCCCTCCCTCCCCACTTCACACAAGTCTCCACGCTACAGACAGCCTGAGCAGATAGCAGGAACTTTGCTCTACTTGGGACTATTTTTATAAATAAGATGTATGTATTGGCCAAATGTAACCAGAGTACTTTTTCATTATTGTATAAGAATACAAAAAAGAGGATGATATCTACATGAAATTTCATCCAAAGGTGGTCCAGAGAGAGAAGCCAAGCTAGGTTTTGCTAGATAAGTCATAAAAAAAAATGACATTGTGATCTCACCAGATCAAATGCGCCTTGTTCAATAATACTGGTTAGGGATTCTGGTTAGCATCACTCAGAATCAGACTGGAGGAGACTGGAATGTGAAGTCAGCTTAAGCCAAATCAGCTTACAAAGTTTGGTGGCTTCTGAGATTGGTGGGGAGGGGTGACCCCTTATTTGCCAGCTTGTCCTCCATCCCCTCATTTCTCCAAGATCTCCTGCCTACTGATGGCAGCCAGTCCAGTTGATCCTCTGCATTTCAAACCACCCTCAGAGCCTGAGATCAGAAGGTTTCAAGCTTTATAAACTAGAAGAATTTAAAGAACCAATACAAAGCATCCCTGTGCTACTATCTCATTTTCAGAACCAATAGAAATAAATAAACAGATAAAAATATTGCTTTTATTACTGATAAAGCCCCTGGAGACTGTGCCTTAGATGTGATGATCAAATGAGTATGCCAGCATCACACCCCAAACAGTGTATCCATGGCGGCGCTGGACAATCCCCAAGTCTTCCATCAAGGAGTCTGCCCTGGAAAAACATAGCACGGAACAACCAAGGAGAAAGCACATGCCCTCTGAGGCAGGCTGACCCTAAGCCAGAGGGGAGCTGTGGGGCTGAGGCTGTGATTCTCAGGTGCTCCCCCCAAGATCCCTCATCAGATACAGCACTCCTCTTCCTCTAGAGAGGACAGAGTGAGGAGGCAGAAGCCCTAACACCGCCAAGCTCTTCTACAGGGAAACAAAAGGAGTAAGTGACTTAGTGCGCACTTTACCCTTAAACAGCTCAGGGCCTTGCTTCTCTGGCTGAAGAGGATGGGGAAGTGAGGATTCAAGCACTCCACACCCCTCAGCAGCAGCACAAAATCCTGAGCCAGCTCAGGGGATCCGAACCAAACATCTCTGGAAAATACTGTCTTGGGTCTCCTGGGAAGCGCTCCTCGCATGGACTCAAAACGTGCTACTGCTATGACTCATCAACACTTTGGTAGATTTCATTTCTGTGGTTTGACACCCAGCTCTCTGTTTTATAGGTGCCATTGCTGCCTCCGGCTCTGGGCACAGCACAGCACAGCACAGCATAACCAGCAGGCATCTCTGTGCCTGGCGCCTGTGCGCTGCCGGTCACCAGCCCTCTCTGGGAGAGACAGCCTGCTCCCTCTTCAGAGGCAGGGTTCACCTACTGAGCTCTGACCTCCCTCTAGCCAAAGTCTAATTGAGGGTGTCCTTGGGGATCCAAAGCCAGCCAACTGTGCCTTGCTTTGAACTGGCTCCATTAATAGTCATTCATCTGCTTGCTTGGCCAGAAGAACAATTGCTGGCAAGGCAAAAAATGAATGATGATGTTTACTGACTGGGAGGGGGAATTGAGGACAGAGTTGTGTGAATTCATATTATTGGATACTACTTCCAGGTCCTACTCACTCAGTGATTTTTAACTTTTGGTTGCATGGGAAGGCAAGAAGACAATCATAAAATTTTTGGATAAACTAATGAAAGTTAGAGGCACTCTCTCTCTAAAAATGTGTGCTCATGCATGCACAATGTATAAATACATGTGTGTAGGTGTATATATGTATATATACTATTTTATATAAGTACTTATGTATTTATACATTATATGTGTAATGTATAGGAATATATATAGTATGTTATCTATATACATTATATATACACTGTTATATAGTATACTATATAGTATAAAAACTCCTTTGAAGTGTGTATATATGTACATATACATACACACACATATACTTACATGAATTGTACTTATATATACACTTCATGTAAGTATATATATATATATATATACATATACACACATACATATGTATATCTGTGTACTACATACATATACACACATACATATATATACTTACATGAAGTGTGTATATATGTGGGTGTCTAGATATGTATATATGTATATACACACTTCATGTAAGCATGTACATATACATATATACACACTTAAGTATATATGTGTGTGTGTTTATATATATACACAATCTCTCTCTCTCACACACACACATACACACACACACACAAACACACATATATATCCCAGAATAAGAACTTCTTTTTTTTTTTTATTGTGTTGTGGGCTATTCCACTCTAGAACTTGAGAAGAGTTTGATTGATGAATGTAGATGCTCCATTGTTTGGGGCATATATATTTATAACTGTTATGTCTTGTTGATGTATGTTTCCCTTAAGCAGTATGAAATAAGAACTTCTTTAAATCAGAGTTTTTGAAGTGTGTAGGATATTAAATATAATTTGGTACAAAAGGTTTAATTGAACTAAAATATATCTTTAATAAAGTGATATTCTACATTCTTTGAAAAGTTGAATAAAGCCAACTGAAACCACATAAAAATATAAAGAATTAAGTGAATCAGCAATGAAATTCCTTCTGTAATTTAATTTTTATATTTAAGGCAGAGCTTCTAGGCAGTCAAGATAAAAAGAAAAACATAGAAAAAAACATCCAATTATTAAGAACTATGTATTCAGAACCATAAAGGATACAAAAGATGTATAAAACATGATTCTTCTCCTTAAGAAGGAATTTTTTTTTTTTTTGGTTTGGTGCCAAAGATCAAACCCAAGAATGCTTAACCACTGAGCCACATCCCCGGCCCTTTTTTGAGACACTTGCTTACGACCTTGCTAAATTGCTGAGGCTGGCTTCAAATCTGTGATCATCCTTCAGGAAGGATTAATTTTCATAAAGAAAACTTTCAGAGGCTGAGGCAAGGGCTATGGCGAGCGACGGTACAGGTGCTGTGCTGCATGCTACAGGTGTAGGTTTGGATCTGCAGGAGACATCCCATATCAAGCAACAGAAAAAGAGACAGCAGTGCTTGTGGGGAAACACATCCAAGATTAGGGAAAATATTTCAAACAGGCTTTGGAGGGAAATCCAGTTTGTAAGGTGAGGGGGTGCCATAACAAGCCATTCTTTCAACAGATGAATGGAGTGCTTCCCGGAAGAGCCCCAATTCTCAGTGGGCTTTCTAGAAGGCAACCGAATGCTACAAAGATGTCATCAAAGCAAATGCACTCTTTCTTTAGAAAAATCCATTCCATAATAACTGTTGGATTTTACGCTTCCCTCAGGACCTCAACAAGTTTCATTCCAGCTGGTCTTACATTCTTCAAGGGAATCCTGGGGAATGCTCTCTCACGAAGGCTGCCTTCATCTTCACTCTGTGGGATTCAGCTGCTGTGAAGAGAGTGAGAAGTCTCTGAAAGCTGACCCAATTTTTCCTGTAACCCAACTTCAAACCCCCACTTTTCCACATGAGTAATAATTCAAAAATCACTTACAAATAGGTGACAAGTTCTACAGACTGGAAAATTACCTACAGTTTTTAATATTTTCCCCATGAAAGATCATCTTCCCAGGAATTTGCCTGCCAGGAGACTGGTCCACAGACTTAAGGCTTCCAGGTATCAGATAGGAAATCACAGGAGCAAGCCCACTTACATTTCTGCAGCGGTGACAGATGATGCCTACTAAATATCAGCAGAGTCACATCTCTTTAGAATAGCATATATACATGCTTATTTAGCAAGCAATCCCTAGAGTTTATCATGTCAGTCCCTGCTTAAAAGTTATTCATGGTGCACATTTTAGCAATGCTCTTAGGAGACCCTATTCTTATTTCCATTTGGCAGAAGAGGAAATTGAGGCACAAAAAAGTTAACTTACTCCATAGGTAAGTGGCAAGCTTTGAACCTAGACAGTTTAGTCCCAGAGAGCAGCTCTTATTCACTATAACTAGTGGTTCTTAAATGTCAGTATATATCAAAATCCCTTGGAGAGCTTGTTAAAATGCAAAACACTGGGCCCCATCTCTGGAGATTCTGGTTCCATTGGTGTGGGTTGGGGGTTCAAGAATTTGCATTGCTAAAAAGTTACCATATGATGCTGATGTGCTGGGTCTGGAACCACTCAGGCCATGAGGTGAAAACCTTCTGGGCCCTATCCCTTGCACACTTTGCTTAAATTCTTAGTGAAACCTGACATTGGTAGTTTTTCAGATTTTCTCCAGGTGATTGTAATGTGCAACTAGGATGAGAATCCTTTCTCTGCTTGGAAACACTGGTTGGTTCTCTATCTTCACTGTATTTCTGAATCATCTGGAGAATTTTCTAAACTAATCATGCCTGAGGGCCCAGCCTTGGATATTCTCATTTAATTAGTACAGTCTTTGAAAGTCTCTGAGCATCAGGTTTTTAAAGGTTCTGCAATGCGCAGCGACAGTGTGAAGATCACTACTGTACATTCTTTTCCCTTACAGGACCCATGAATTTTCTGATCAGGAATTGGTGATCAGTTGATGATGGCACTTTGGTCCTCAGGGGTCTTCTGTGTTCTCTCTAAAGCATGATGATAAAAAATTCACCCAGGTCAGAGATTAGCTGTTGCTACAAGATCATTTGCTTTCTAGTAAATGTTTCAGCTTACTTTTTCTTTAATCAAGTTAGTCCCCCAACTAAAGGGCAAGTGCATTATTCCTGACTCACATAATAACTTGATTTTGGCAGACTGTTGAAATTTCTCTCTCATTGTATTCTCCCAAATTTGGAATGGTTTGTATTACAAGAGGATCCTCTGTTGCCCAAAGGAATTCCTGGCAAGTTTTCTTGAAAGTGTACTTAAAAATGATATCTGATTTGCACTAACTCATAAATTAAGGTCTAGGCTGTGATGACAGCTTGTGCAGCCCCTGACATTGGCAGAAGCAGCTAGTACATTGGTTTATTCTCACTCTAAGATTTGATCATCACTTCTCCTCTGACTTTGTTAATACCACTTTCCATAAAGCTGTAGTGAGAGATAAAACTTCCAGCCATCACTGAGTTATTCAACCAGTCCTCCGTTACCAAAACAGACAGCGTTAGAATGAAGAGGAAAAATTCAAAGAATGGTTGCTCCTCTTCCAAGTTATTCTTCATTAGTCTTCATGAAAAGTTCTCAAAACAATAAAATGAATTTCACTCATCATATTCTGCTAGTAGTGATTGACTTGCATATTTTTTGAACTCACAATGATTTTTTTTTCTTTCCTAGCATAAACCTGTAACAGATTAGTTGGGAGAAAATTTAATAGGGGACAGCGGCACTTTCCCCCCCCCCTCCTCAGGCAGCTTTTCTCACATTGCTGGGGTTTGTGTGAAGTTTCTACCTCTTCTTTCTTATCCCTCGACAAGTGCGCTCCTAGTGTTTAAGTTTGGGCTGGAGGCCGAGCTCTAAACTTAGATCACAGAACCCAGAGACCAGGAGCCTCAGAACGTGGACATGGCTGTGATAGACTTCAAACAGATTGACTTTTGTACACTTGTGTGCACTTCTCTGTAAATCTGCTTAGAATATTGTTGCTCAAAGAAAGAAAATTATGAGTTCCAAATTAAAACAGTAACCTTATTATAAGGGAAAGGAGAGATGAGAGGAATTTTTACAAGATAAAACAGGATTTGGTGAATGCTTAGATTCAGGCAATAAAAGAAAAATTAAAGATGACACCCAGATTACTGGTTTGGATGACTGCCTTAATAATGAGGCAAAGAAGCCACAAACCAAGAGCACACAAGATAATGCATAGCTCAGTGTGTGTGTGTGTGTATGTGTGTGTGTGTATGTGTGTGTGTGTATGTGTGTGTGTGTGTGTGTGTGTGTTTGAAGGTATCACACAGCTGCCAGCCAAGACTTGAAGCCAAGATTACAGGAAGAGACAAGCATTGCTCTGAGCCAAGCAGTGTTCTTCTCCCCTAAGACATTTGTCAAGTTGTAAGCATTGGTTGAGAAGCTGAAAAGATAAAAATGCACTTTCAATAGAACTTCAGAGCTCACCAAGGAGGAGGATTGCTGATATGCCAATAAATCCAGGCTTCAGATAAAACTTCTAAAGGGCTTCACCTTAGGAATAAAGGTGAACCAGAGATAGACTCATCCTTACCAAGACCAAACTCTGCTTCAAATTAGAACAGTCCCCAGACTGGATTAAGGGGATGTCTCTTTCTCTGCTCTAAACTCTCTCCAAGGAAGAAAACACTATCTAGAGCCTCCAATTTTTGCTGTAATCTTTTCATAAATCATGCCTAGCGTTTAATCAAAACTTACAAGATAGATTATAAGATCAGACTAATGACTAAAAAACCAGAGGGAAAAAGACAAAAGGAATTCAGATTTTAGAGTTCACATGGATAGACTTTAAAATGACTTTTATTAATATGTTTAAATGATAAACATTTCTCTAATTTTTAAAAATCCCTGTATATTTCATCACAATGAAAACAGAAATTTAAAAAAAAATGAATTGAGAAAGATGTGAAAGAAGTGAGGAATTGCAAGTTAGGGAAAATGTTCCACATTTTGATGGCAATGTATGCTATCTTGATTGTATTGGTGGTTTCACGGATACATGCTTCTGTCAAAACTCAAATAGTGTATTTGAACTAAGTACCATTTATTATATGTTTCCTCAATCAAGTTTTGAACTCAATTTTAAAAACTGAATTTGAAAGAGAAAAATCAGAAATCAAATACTTGTAAATATTGATTCAGAATTAATTCAATCTTGAAGCAGGCCTACCATGACAGAGGAGAGAAATATGTCAATTAGACAGCTGGAGGATATCAAAGGGATAAGATGCTCTTTCTTTCTTTCTCTCTTGCCCCACTCAGTCAGAATGATCGGTTCTCATCATTGCAGGTTTCCATCTCAGTTTACTCTTCCCACGGTCAAGATTAAAATAAAGATGACAGAAAACAAGCAACTTCCAGCTCCACTCCTTGTTAGAACACTGCTTCCTGCCCACCTTGGTCCTGATCCCTATGGCTCTCCTGGTTGGTGGCTTTTAGCTGGACACTTGCCTTTTTGTTTAATGCAATTCCTATGGCACCCTTAGTAAATATTTGCAAAGACCTTGGGTCCCTATCCTGACTCTTGGCTTGTACCCAGCATTGTTCCCACTTCTCTGCCTAATTCTGATCCCATTACCATCCTAAACATTTCCTCTTGCCCAGTGTTCAGTTGGTTTCTGCTTTCTTAGTACCCTCCAATGCTACAGTCTGTGATGTAAGATGACAGAAACTTTCAGGATTATTGGCCCTTTAGCCAACATGTCTCAGATTACAAAATAAATATTAAAATCTAAGTCATTGCTTCAAACATCTGTTAAGATTTCAAGGTTGCATAAGAAAATAAGACTTTATTTCAAACATAAACTCTAGAGTTTTAGAATAAAAACAGCCAAGCTATTTCTTAGAACAGGAAGAACCATTTTTCAAAAGTTAAAAAGTGTACCAGAATTTCAAAGCACAGTAATAATGCATTCCCAATACCAAGGCCCTCAGTCCAAATAGGCAATTACCAAAGCAATTTATCAAAGCAGTATCATCAGAAACAATAAAATTTCCCTTTTAAAAAAAAATCCTCCTCTTTTCTATTATGCTTTTATTCTCTTGCATTTTCTTGCATTTTGCAGTTTCTGGACTTGTCACCATATACCTCTTCCCAATGACCTCCCTTTTGAGTGGTTATGATATGGAATTTGCAACTCTATCATCAGTTACATATTTCTTGAATGTAATTTTTGCATTATCTTGTCTAAGTTTTAAGACTTCAGACTAAAACCAAACCACTGTAATTCCTTTTCTAGTATCTAACAAAATAATGGGGGAAATAGAAAGCCTAAAATCTAGAGGAGAAATTATTGATAGCTGCAAAACAAACAAATAGGGTATGTTAATACAAACAAAACAAAACAAAAAACAAAAAACTTCAAAATCTGACTAGAAGATTGTGAAATGAAACAGAGAAGTTGCACAGTTTTATCCATGCCCCCGCCCCCCAGAGATGGCACTGATTTGAGGAAATCAAGTCTGGAGAGAAGCCAACTTAGTCATCATCTTTTCCTTTTCAAATAACATGTTGGTGGAGGAGATGCTGGAGGGGAAAGGTAGTGAAACAGGGACTAGCTCTACAAAAAAGAAAGCTCCACAGCTGTACCATCCAAGGGCCCAGGCTGCCTTCCCACAGTTGAGGAGAACATCTCTCAAGCAGGTCTGGACATAGGACATAGGACTGGAACAATAAGCAGCACCCATGTTATTTTACAAAGACAAAGTAGCCAAGCTGGGCTCTCTCCTTCTGTTGTCATGCTCTTGATTTATAGAAGCAGTGGATAGAACAAAAGGATAGTCACTCATAGATC